GTGGAACTGTTAATGAACAGGCGTTTGACAACTCTCCTGGATTGGATGCACCCCGATTTAACTGAAGATCGACCGGGGAAAAGGGATGTTCAAGGGCCCGTCCGCTCGTTTGTCCCGGATGATCCTGTTTATGTTAGAAACTATGGGTCAGGTGCAGCATTGGATTCCTGCTATGGTGACGCAAGCTACAGGACCAGTGTCATACCGGACAGAAACATCGGATGGCCTTGTGCTGCGACAACATGTGGACCAAATGAGGGGCGGGTGCCGGGAGTAACTGTTTCTGTTGTTCCCGTGGCCTCTGTTATCCCTGTTGTTCCTGTAGGTACTAGTAATACTCCAGCAGGTGGGTGGGGGAGTCGACTTTTGTTCAGGAACCAGTACAAGAACCTGTTGATAGGGAGCCTGAACATCAAAATGAAGCCACAGGAACAGTAGAAAGGGCATCAGAGTCTACATTAACTCGAATGCAGAACCAAGGTCGCCCACAGCGTGAGAGGGTTCGACCAAGGTATTTGCAGGATTATGTTAGCTAGTGGGAAGGGGTGTTGTGTATTGACCTCCTTGGGTTCCTGTACGCATAGTGTGGGAGCGTAGCCTTATTGTTTCCACACCCCACGCCCTAGCTTTTACCTGTGCATTAGTTTGTTACATCTGCAGCTGTCGAGATGTGTTACTTGTGTTTTATGGAACTGCAGTAAACCTTTCATTTTCGAGAGGATTCTTCTTGCCGAGGACATAACACCCCCCATCCTTGAAGATTCCCTTCCATGCAAGTGGTCCTGGCCCAGTGGCTTGCATGGACCATAGTTTTTCTAGATAGATGCTGCCGGGGCAGGGAGGAGGGAAAACTGAGGACAGAGGGATGGATAAAGTTTGGAGGGAATGAGAGAAGGAAACAGGAAAGGCTATGGGAGATTTCAAGGAAAGGAAAAAGGAAATAAGTGGCAGAGGGGGAAATGAGATGTCCTCTGCAAGTCCTTGCAGGTTTCCACTTATATATTCTAATAGTGACATCAGCCAAATCGGAGGATACTTAAATCCAGAGAATGGAGTGGTGAGCGGAGAAGATGGATATTTTGACAAACCTCCAAATGCCTCAGGGTTACAGGAAAAACTGAAATCTTTATCTGATATATCTAATTGCCCAAATGCGTTGGCAATTTCCAGCTTTCCAATTGGCTGTGCTGTGCGCTTCATCAGCCATTGGCCCATCAACCGCCAATCAAGAGTACTCGCATGCCATTGGCTGGGTGCTGGGTCTGCTCCTCTTCCTTGCTCACTGCCAATTTAGCCATTCCCTGTCAGAATAGACTGCCAAAACGGCTGTTTCTCCTGATGAAGACACCTCTCCTGCTTGGCTCCTGTGGGACTAACGTTTCCCTCAGTGACTGTTGCTAGGCAACCAAGCTTGGTTCTGTCAGTAAAAAGGCAAAGCCAGGATGCCCTTTCCAGGCCTTTGTGGGGAACTAATTGGAACCAGTCTTGACTAGGGTTGTCAGCTCCAGGTTGGGAAATTCCTGGAGATTTTGTGGTGGAGTCTACCAAAGCCAGGGTTTGGGGAGGGGAGAGGCCTCAGCTGAATAGAATGCCATAGAATCCACTCTCCAAAGCAGTTATGTTATCCTGGGAAACTGCTGCTGCCATTCTCCAGGTGAGGGCTGGAGATCACTCAGAATTACAACTGCTCTCTAGATGGTAGAGTTCAGTTTCCCTAGAGAAAATGGCTGCTTTGCAGGATGGACTCTGTGTCATTATACCCTGCTGAGGTTGCTTCCCTCCTGCTTGGGTCCCCACTACAGAGAAAGACTACTTTTCCTAGGTAAGATAAGTTTATTGCAGTCAAAGACCATAATACAACCAATACTGTTAATATAACAGCTATCTTAGCAATGATAAAATAATATGTCTGTCACGGATGCTGACCCCTCCGGGTGCAGAGTCGTGGTTCAAATAACAGATTACAAAGCACTTTTACAAAAATACTGAAGGAATTCTAATTAATCCCTGACCATAGTGCTCTCTGGGGAATGTGTGGGGAAAGGCGGTCCCTGACCATAAAGGACTTTAAAGGTCAAAACTAGCACCTTGAAGCGAATCCGGTATGCTACTAGCAGCCAGTGCAATGGGTTCAGCACAGGTTGGATGTGCTCTCGCATAGCGAGGCCCATCAACAGCCTGGCTGCCACATTTTGCACCAGCTACAGCTTCCGGAATTGCTCCAAGGGCAGCCCCATGTAGAGAGCATTGCAGTAGTCCAACCTCGAGGTGACCATTGCGTGGATCACTGTTGCCAGAACATTGCGTTTGAGAAAGGGAACCAACTGCCTAATCAGCCAAAAATGGTAAAAGGCTGCTTTGGCAGTGGCTGCTACCTGGGCCTCCATTGATAAGACTACAGCTTGCAGAAGGGAAGATCTATTGCATAACAACAAAAGCAAGTTACAGAATGAGAGAATAGCAGTCAGTTTGACTTATAACCACATCAGTGCACAATTTAAAAAGATCATATATAAAAACCGGAATATGCTATATGATGTCCCGTTTTGTGGTGAAAAAAACCAATTATCTCTTTTAAAAGAACATCCAATTTAAAAGATAAATTGGTTCACAGCAACACCTTTGTTCCCATGAACCTACAAAGAACCATTCTAGGAGCAGGTTTGCCCAAAGGCCATTTTAGATGTTGTTAGACAATGTTAGACATTGTAAGTGTTGTAACTGAACTAAAAATATGAAAAGTTTTATCAATCCCTTTTACAAAAATTATATGTTCTAAATAGTTTCACAACATGCAATTCAGATATGGTTATATATACCATCAGATGTTCTTGCAATAACATATATATAGGGAAGACCTAGAAAATTAAAGACACGTATAAGAAAACACATGAGCAATGTATGTCACTGAATAGTTGGTGTACCTTTGGTACAGCGTTTTATGGAAAAAGAACATGGATCCACTGATTTCATTTTGGGGGCTTTATATAAATCTTACCATCATAATGGGAAAAGTCCTGTTAAAAAAGGAACTGGAGGATGCAGACTTTGGCCCCTCATCAGTTAAACTCTGTTCTGGGACTTCTGACCTTGCTCAGCTAATTGCTGCATGTATAAGAAACACTATGTCATTCTCCACTGTAAAAGAATTTAATTGCTGTGAACAGTTCCAGCACTAGGTGAATGTCCTCGTCAGTATTTACTTCATATATATTTTTCACTGTCTTGCTTCATGTCCAATGTATAGTTTACTTGTCTTATATTGGCCAATATGCATCTGTTTTTGAAATTAATTTTGATCCTGTCTTTTAAATATTATTTTAAATTACTTTGGAATAACTTTTATTAAGGAGTCTTTCTATTTATTAAACATAAATTTAAGTTTTTATAGATTCCCCCTGACCAAGCCTGCATGGTGAAACGCATACGGACTTTGCATAATAAATCAGTAATTTATCACTTGGCATTTCCCCCTTTTTATTCTGTTGGCACACTGCTGGGTACAGCCCATTTTTTCTTTAGACACTGAAATATGCTACTGGAGACCTGCAGCCTCACTCAAGACACTAACCTTTCTTTTTGCTGCTGCAAGACAGCTGTTGTTGAAAAAACTGATAGCAAGTCATTTTTCACAAGTCTTGCCACATGCTTAACCCCCACATGAACAAAACACAGTAGACAGGGTCAGATTGTTTCATAGACCTTTTTTGCACTTTCCAAAGCCCCTCCTGATCAATGTGAAATGTTGGCACAACCGTGTTCTGAGTTGACCCATTTCGGTGCAGCCCTGACCCCAGTAACCCCATGAATTGTTCAATAAGCACTCTCTGCACCCACCATGCCCTCCATGCATGATGTTTGTTAATAGTTCTTCAAGGCCCACTACACGGACTCCTTGGACTAAAAAAACATAAATTTGGTTGTTTCTTTTAGGATGAGGACCATCAGCTCTGCAGGCAGATTGAAGCCTGCATCTTTGGAAACAATCTCCCCATCCATCCACATACACAACCCACACACCTACAGAGGCACAGTTGTGGCAACTAAAGACACTTTATTAGGTTTTGGGGAAAAGGGCCTGCTTACTTGTCAGGACTTTTGGGTCCTGTCTCAGGAGATGGGGCACCTACCTGGGTTCAGAATGGGGAGAGGTCAGCTGTAGAGTGTGGACTTTGCTCTCCGTTTTGGGTGTTGACATAAAGTGCTCACCTAACATTGCTAAGTGCCCTCTCTGTGCTTTTCCTGCCACCAAGGTGCCTGAGTGTTCTTTCCACACGTCAGGGAGCTGTCAGACGGACTCCCATGCTGTACACCCAACTTTGTGAGTTGTGGGGTGGCCTGGTTGGAGGTTTTGTAGGGCTGGGTTTTTTTTTCACATTTAGCGTTCTCAGGCTGAAAAGACTTAGGGGACTAACTAATTCCTGCCATGTCTCAAGAATATGCTGGTGTAAGGGTCAGTTGACTCCCTGAGAGCATTTACACATACCCCCCCCCCCTTAGGATTCTTTTGCCAACCTAGCAGTTCAAAAGCAAGAAATTGCAAGTAGATAAATAGGTACCACTTCAGTGGGAAGGTAACAGCGTTCCGTGCGCCTTGGTGTTTAGTCATGCCGGCCACATGACCACGGAAACGTCTTCAGACAGCGCTGGCTCTTCGGCTTTGAAACGGAGATGAGCACCACAACCCTAGATTCGGACGACTGGCTTTCGAGCAAGGCAACCTTTACCCTTAGGATTTCACTGTTAATCTCCTGTCTGGAAATGAAAATCCATGCAAATGCCATTTCCTCAGCGTTGGGAATAACCAAATACTAATCCTGATGATTGCCATTATGTCTTTATGGATTTTAATCTGTGTTACCTTTTAAAATTTGTATAGTTCCTTTTCTTTCTTTCTTTTAAAACACTGCCCCCCCCCGAATTTTAACCTAATCTGTTTCTTATATTGCCTAAAAGCCGATATGCCGTATAGACAGTGAATGAAATGGTTTCTGTTCTAGTTCGTGTCCTGCAGGCACGTGTGATGGCTGCTCTTTCTACTTCTTGTGGGAAAGTGCTGAAGCCTGCCCCTTGTGCACAGAGCAGGATTATCATGCGATCGAGGGGGTTTGTAAAAAAGGACATCAGGTAAGGGACTGATTGCTCAGTAATACAATGGTTGAATGTTATGGATGGATGTGTGTACTTTTAGAAAAACACAGATGTACCTGGTCAAAGTGGAAAATAAGATCCTAAGCTGCATTCCAGGGAAGATCTGCATTCAGATGGATGAACCAGGAAGCTGTAGAATCCACATGCCAATTTTGCCATTTGAGCCAACCTTTCAACTGCTCTGCTAAATTATTTCTGCTTTTCACCCCTTTACTCCCCCCACCAGTATTTCAGTTGCACACATTTTAGGGCAGAGCCCAAAACTCCAAAAATGATTTGCTTAGGAGTACAGAAGGCCTGCAGCTTACTGGAAGAGTGACTACTGTCTTGATGGTTATCTATCAAGAGGCAGAAAAGAATACCTATCTGGTCTGCTTCAGCAAAAGTGCAGGCCAGATTCAGGCTTTCCCTCTATGTAGCTAGTAACAAAATTGACAATACTTACTTACCACAATGTCATGTCTATTTTGGAGAAGCAACAGCCCCATACCAGCCAACCTGTAGCAGATAGCTTCCCTTTCCTAGTACTGATGTACATAGTATTTAATTTTTAAAAGATCGGTGCTGCAAGGTTTCAATAAAGACACAGGGTGATTTCCCACAAGCACTGCTCTGCGCTCACTCTTCTCTTTGGCCTGATGGTACGTGTCAGTTTCACACAAGCTGCTGCGCAGCCGCATTTTGCCCCGCAGCTTTGTGCGATTTTCCCCGCGTCTACTCAATCTTGTTTTTTGAGGATTGAGTAGACGCTTGGAAAATCGCACGAAGCTGCGAGGCAAAATGTGGCTGCGCAGCAGCTTGTGTGAAATTGACACGTACCATCGGGGCAAAAGGGAGGAGTGAGCGCGGAGCAGTGCTTGTGGGAAATCACCCTGTATAGACTTTGTGTGCACATGTGCTTGTGAGAGTATGACACAAAATTAGAAGGATGGTAAAGGAAGTTTTGAAAATGTAAACCATGCAACCAAATTTGTAGAGGTCTTCAGGGTTGGGTTTTGTTTTTGCTTTTTTGTATTTTAAATGCAACCCAGAAGAATGGTTTAAAGCAAATCCATTGGTATCTTTTTGCAACAAGGTATATCAGCAGCACTACATCCAGGGAGAAATTCTGATGGAGGGAAATTCTGTCCTAGGCATTAGTTCTATTGGCCTACGACAGTGTTCCCATCGCTTCTGAAGAAAGGGACACCCTGAAGAGAGAAAGGGACACCCTTTTCTTCTCAATTAAAATTGGATAGCCTCTTTTATACCTGAAAAAGTTTAATTTTAGAGTGGATAGAAGTAAAAATTGCCACTCGTAGAGGAATCAATGCCTGTATTTGTATCATATAGAACGTTGTTAATTACTCTGGCGCCTAAAAAATATGAAAAAGCCGTATGCGAAGGGTGAAATGGTTTAATGAGTATTTTTAGATTCAGTTATTTTAGCACCGTTACTTATGACTTATGTTTTATGCTTGTTGTGTTTGATTGTGATGACAGTTGGCTATATGGATGAATTGCTATTTGTACTGTTTGCCTGTGTGTACATGAGCCATTCACTGATCAGGGTGTGCCTTCTTCTTGGAAAGATGATCCAGCTGCACTTTGCAGAGATGCAGCAACCTCAGGAGAAGGCAAGAACATGGATTTATGTGGAAAAAATTCTGGTAGTGGGGGAGGGGGTACTTTTGGCTTAGAGGAGCCTTTGATCATTTTATGGATTTATTTCTTGTGGCACGCTAGTTAGCAGTTCTCTCATTGCAGAGAATTTACTGACCTAAAGCCTCTTCCTTCCTTCCTTCCTTTGTTTCTTTCTTCCTTTTTAAATTTTTTAAAATAATTTTATTACTTTTTCATTCCTTTGTTTCTTAGGAGATCTTATATTTCTGGAACGAACCAAAGCTATGTGTAAAAGGTGTATCCTTGCCTGAAAAGAAAAGCATCGGGTGTGAAATGGTGGACTTCTGGCTGAAAGTTGGAACAGCAGTTGGTGCATTCACTGCTGTCCTGCTGATTGCCTTAATTTGCTATTTTTGGAAGAAGAATCAGAAGTAAGTAGGGTGCGCACCCTAAGGGAGATGTGCAATGCCAGATGAACGGGAGGGTTTTCTTGCTGAAAGGTATCCTGGAGCACCTTTTCTCTCTGACCTATGTGGTGTGGCCTCCTTGGAGAGACCCAGATAGGCTCAAAGAAGCCCCGATACTATTGGTCAATTCCACACCCGAAGCTGTGGGGCTGCATTTTGACTCGCGGCTTCACCCGATTTCCCCCGCAGTTTTGTGATCCTGTATTTTGAGGATCACGAAACTGCGGAGGAAATTGGGCGAAGCCGTGGGTCAACATGCAGCCCCGAGGCTTCAGGTGTGAAATTGACCAATAGTATCAGGGCAAACGGCAGCGCAACATCGAGGCAGCTCTAGTGCGAAATCAGCCTGTATCTATACACTCTCTATCTGTTAATCTGTGATAGAGTGGTGTCTGCCATGTGTTCCAGCTGCTTCTGTCTCATAAGAGTGGTGGTGGGGTGTTCCCCAGGAAGGCAGGGACTAGTTCAAGTGCCTCCTATTGCTACACTCCCACTGAGATAATTACTAATGACTTTTGACATAGGCATGAACAAGGCCAAGGGTGCCAGGTTCAAGGTTCAGGGTCCAGTAAGTAGAAAGCACACTAATAGGTTTTGCACCTGTTTGTTTCAGAGTCTCTTACTAATATAAATTGTACTCACTAAATTCTGATAAAGTCTAGAATGTTTGTTAAGAGTTTGCAATGCTGATGTCCTGTTGCAGTTTGATATTAGAAGATGGCATGCTGCAGACACAAAACCAGAACTCTGTGTATTTATACCTTCAGGTTAGAGTACAAATATTCCAAACTGGTAATGACTGCAAATTCAAAAGATTGTGAGCTTCCAGCAGCTGACAGCTGTGCTATCATGGAAGGGGAAGACAACGAAGAGGAAATAGTATATTCCAACAAACAGTCATTACTAGGAAAACTAAAATCCTTGGCAACAAAGGTGAGTACAGCTCTTAGAATGGCTATTAAGTGGTTAAGAAGGGAAATTGGAAATTGTTTGAATGTCCCTGCCTTCACCAACTTTAGTGTCTGTGATACCAAGAAGTTTATGGTTATTTATGTAAGTAGAGACTGCCAGAAATCTCTCTCCCCAAGTTTTAAAGAACTGTCTGAATAACAGAAACAAATTATCTGGCATTTGTTTTTGTGAAAAGTTACCTCATTCCTGTTGCCTGTTCATTTTGTAAGTCCTATACCTGATTCCTACCTGACAATTTCCCCTCAACGGTAGATAAAACAGTTATTTTTGAACTACCATCAGCCTCTCATGTGCCATTACCAAACCAGGACATAGGAAGGATTTTAGTCTCTCCCCTGAGATTCCTAGGCTGGGTCAGCTTTTACCAATATACATTCAAATGACTGGGTGGGAGAGCCAGAGGAAAAACAAAGAAGAAAAGAGAAAAAAGGCTGCTCAACCAAAAAAAGACGATAAAGGGGCTTTTTTGCACATCACATAGTGACACAGCTGGGGCTTGCCTTCCCCACCTTCAAGTGGTTTCTAGAGCAAAACCATATGGGGGGAGTTATTTTGCCAATTTTTCTGCTCCATGCGGAGTATCTATGCACACGGAGCAGAAAATCAGCAAAATATCTCCGTCTCATGATGTTCTTGCATGAGAAAACCACTTGGGGGAGAGACAGGAGCATGACATGACACCATTTCAACCCCATTCAGGCTCTTCTTTTTAAAGAAGCAGTTCCTCACAGCTGCTGTGTGGTTGTGAGGAACACTCGACTGCATTTGTACACAATTGTAAAAAGTAACATCTGTACATTGCTCAAGCTTCTTCATGCTTATCACATTACTTAATTTACTGGCTGGAAAAAGGGGAAATGGGGTGGGGAGGCAATCAGAGGCTACCAGGTTAGTTGTATGGTTGGTAAAGAAATTAGAGCAAATTTAATGGTTATATTATAATTTCAGGTGGTAGTCAGGTAAGCAGGGAATATCTACTTATAATCTACCTAACATCTATCAGCATCAGACATAACTGCTTGCTTAGTGAGTACATTGGGGGCTTGTCTTTGTTTTAGGATTACCAGTGGTCTGAGGCTCATGCGAAGATCAGCGGTGCAGCAATGCCTGGACAACAGATTCTGGTGCTCCTGGGGAGGGGAAAGTATAGCGGTGGGTCCAGGCAGGAAGTAAAGGGAAGGATGCGGAGAAATAGGATGGCTTGGCACCCTTCCAGCCTGCGACCCATACCGAAGGGTGTTGGCAGTGGAGCTAGGATGGTTTATGCTCCTCTGACATTGGTGCTGTGCAATGCCAGATCTATAAATAATAAGACCATGGTCTTTCGGGACTTCCTGATGGAACAGCAGGCAGATCTGGCTTGCGTGACCGAGACCTGGGTGCGGGATGGGAAGACAGTAGGTCTCTCCCAGCTTGCCCCCCCCAGTTCTTGTTCCTACACCAATCATGGACCTGGGGGGGAGGAGTGGTTATGTTCATTCGGGAGGCTTACTCCTTCATGGCACTCCCGTCATTGGAGATCACAGGCCTTGAGTGTGTTGGTCTGATACTGGAGGCCAGGGAGAGTGTGGCAATTTGGCTGGTGTACTGAACGCCTAATGCGCCGGCTGATAGCCTACCGGCCCTGATGGAGGCCGTATCAGGCTGGGCATTGGAAAACCCTAGGCTGATTGTCTTGGGTGATTTCAACATCCATGCCGATGTCGCGGCTTCCATTCAGGCGACAGACCTGGTGTCATCCATGGCAGCGCTCTCCCAACTTGTAATGACCCCCACTCACCGGGCTGGGCACACGCTCGATTTGATTTTCACCAATATGCGGATGACACCCAGCTCTATCTGATGTTGGGTGGTCAGTTGGACTCCAGACCGGAAGATCTTGACCGGGCATTGCTCACCGTGGCTGGTTGGCTCAGGCTGAGTCAGCTGAAGCTAAACCTGGCGAAGATGGAGGTCCTGTGCCTGAGTCGGGGCCATTCAAGGTTGGGCCTCCCGCTCCCGTCCTTCAATGGGGCACCACTTGTTCCTGCGCTGGTGGTTTGGAGTCTGGGAGTGTTCCTGGAACCCTCCTTGGCAATGGAGACCCAGGTAGCAGCCACTGCCAAGTCGGCCTTTTACCATCTGTGGCTGGTTCGGCAGTTGGCTCCCTTCCTCAATCGCGACGACCTGACTACAGTGATCCACGCAATGGTCACCTTGAGGCTAGACTATTGTAACGCTCTCTACATGGGGCTGCCCTTGGTGCAAATCCAGAGGCTGCAGCTAGTGCAGAATGGCGCAGCCAGGCTACTGATGTGTCTCCCTAGATGGGAGCACATCCGGCCGGTGCTCAAGGTGCTGCACTGGCTGCCAATAGCATACGGAATTTGTTTCAAGGTGCTGGTACTTACCTTTAAAGCCATATATGTCTAGGGTCCAAAATACCTGAGGGACCGCCTTTCCCCATATATACCCCAGAGAGCACTACGGTCGGGGGCGCAACACAGACTGGTTATTCCAGGCCCCAGGGAGGCCAGGCTCGTGACTACTAGAGCCAGGGCCTTTTCAGTGGCGGCTCCTTACTGGTGGAATGAGCTCCTGGAGGAGACCAGAGCCCTGCGGGATCTTGTGCAGTTCCGCAGAGCTTGCAAGATGGAGCTCTTCCACCAGGTCTTTAATTAGGAGCCGTCCACATTACCATCAACGACCACTATTAATATCTGTGGTGTAGGCTGGCTGTAGTTGAGATCGAGCCAAACCGCCTTGAAGAACAGGAGCCTATATTTGCTTTGAGCCTGCATTATATGGCACACCATCTTGCTTAATAATCACTGTGTGCACTTTGACTTGAAATTGTTGATTGTTTTAAATGTGTTAAATGTTTTAGTGTTTTAAATGTGTATATGAATCCTGGCACACTGTGCCAAGCAATGTGAGCTGCCCTGAGCCCGCTTGTAGGGAGGGCGGGCTATAAATGCAACAAACAAACAAATAAATATTTTTTGAATGTGTAAAGATGTCAGAGGAATGTTCCTAGACCGGCCACCCTCCCCTCAAATTTGACAGGCAACTCATCCCTTTGCCTGAAAGAGACCTATCACTGTCAGGTCTCCACTTTGGTTGGTCTTTAAGTTAAGCAGGTGCATGCTGCATCAGTTCTTTGGGTGGGAGAGCACCAAAAGTCCCCCTATACAGAGGACAGGAGGATAACAATAGTCTTAGAAACAACCTTGTCATTTTCAATGCAGGAGAAGGACAACTACTTTGAATCTGTGCAGCTGAAATCCTCAAGATCTCAGAATATATGACGATTCACCTCGCCTTCAAACCAGCAAACCAGGTTTCTGTTTAGATGGGACTACAGTGGAAGGATGACTGGTGGTCTCCATTGAGAAATGCCGTGCAGCAGCCAAGGAGAACAAAAGGACAAAGTTGCCTTATCCTGAGACTAACTTGCCAAAATGAAAACAAAGCAAAGCATTTGGTTAACAGACTGGGGATGACTTTCAACTCAGGGAGAAAAAGGAAGGTGTGTAGAGTTGGCCAAGACACTTTGTCTGAGGCAAATAACATGAATGATGCCTCTCAAAATAGTAACCATCTAGTAGGAAGCTAAATAATTGGCAATTTGCTTCCCTTTAATGGTACTCTAGTGTTTCCACCTGTGGTGGGTGGCCCTGTGAAAAAGAGACAGGTTGTACCCGGTACAAATTTTATATGTGCTTCATTCAGGCATCACTTGTACCTCTTCCATTCCCATCTCATATGTCCCATTGGTAAAACTGACAGCATTTTCAGAAAGGCTTGCAAGGTTCCTCCAAGTTGCATACAGATATGTTCAAGCTACTGTGCTGAGTTTCTAAAACAGGGTCAGTACTTGTGATGGAAGAAACATGGATTTCTTTTTAATCTTTGGAATGAAGAGAGCTTGAGATATAATTTCTTTGTTGTTTTGCCTTACTCCATTTTGTTCCAGTCAAATCAGCTTCTTTAGCTGTAAATACTGTATGTTTTAGGTGGCTCAGGTGGTTAAGACGCTGAACTATAGGCTGTGGAAGGTCGGTAGTTCAGCAGTTCGAGACCCTAGTATGCCGCATGACGGAGTGAACTCCTGTCTCTAGTTCCAGCTCCTGCCAACCTAGCAGTTCGAAAGCAAGAAATTGCAAGTAGATAAATAGGTACCACTTCGGTGGGAAGGTAACAGCGTTCCGTGCGCCTTGGTGTTTAGTCATGCCGGGCACATGACCACGGAAACGTCTTCAGACAGCGCTAGCTCTTCGGCTTTGAAACGGAGATGAGCACCGCAACCCTAGAGTCGGATTTGAATGGCTTTCGAGCAAGGGAACCTTTACCTTTTACTGTATGTTTTGATCATGTGGAAGTAGTGAACATGTATTGTAAAAGACCAGTGTCCTGCAGTCTGACAGATCAGACCACTTTTCTTAGCTGAGCCTGAGCAACTGGAGCCCAGATGACGTGTGCAGCCCCCTGCCTGGATTGCAGTGCAACTAAAAGGGAGTGATCTGCCCTGAGATCATAAACCGACTTATACTCTTCTGAACCCATGGACTGCAATAGCTGTAGGAGGGTGTACCTCTCCCGAGGATTCAACTGTCACTGTAGAAAACCCTTTGTCTGCGGTGGCTCTTCACAGGTTTGCAGTAATTTTAGTCATGCCATTTTCACCCCTCCCTTTGAAATGGCATTGTAAGAATTCTGCCATTGCGTGGCCTTCCAGAAAGAAACAGCCTTCATGCTGTTGCATTTCAAAGAGTAACAAAATACCCCTGTTTTAAGGTAAGAAATGGCCTGAAGTATGACATGCTTTTAGACACCTAAGAGGAATGAAAATCCCAGAGAGAATGCTTCTCACCAGGGGTCATTTCGTAGAAAAAGAGCTAGGGGAACTCATTAGCATAACTCATTAGCATATGCCACACCCCCTGACATCAGGGGCCCGGCGGTGGACCTGCAAGGCCAGCGGGAGTGCGAGGAATCCCCGCCAAGGCCCTCCCTGGCCCCAGACAGGCAGGGGTGGGGAGAGGCGGGGAGGAAGCAACTTACCCTCCCTCTTCTCCTGCCTCCTCCTGGCTGAATGAGGGCTGGAAGCGGGGTGGCCAGAAGCGGGGGGCGGGGCTTCGTCATGTGCCCCGCCCCCCTGCACCTCACCTGGGGGAACTGTGTTCCCCCGCGTCCCCCCCCCCGAAATGACCTCTGCTTCTCACCATGTTTTAGCTGGACAACACACCAGTGTGTTATCATGTCATTCTTATGTCTAGAAGAGAAGAATCCACGTACATTTCACACAGTGGTACAGGGGCCGCCAACCTTTCTGAGTCTGCGGGCACCTTTGGGATTTAGAGAGGGGGTGGTGGGCACCAACCCAAAATGGCTTCTGTGGGAGGCAAGGCCAAACTCAAAATGGCTACCACAGGAGGCAGAGCCAAAAAAACAATACCATCCTCCTCACTTTGCAAAGGGATAGCAGAATAGGAATAAAAAAGAAACAAAGGAATGCCCAGGAGATAGGGAGGGGAGAAGAAGGAGGAATAAAAAGGAACGCCTGGAGGGGGAGTGGAACCACAAGCCTGAGTGCTTTATCAGTCCTTCTGACCCTCCAGTGACTGTGGCTGCTATTGCACCCGTAGAAAACCTTTTCATTTGAATAATAGCAGCCACCAAGAAGCACTGCCTTACAGTGGCCCTGCCCACTTTCTGAAAAGCTTGGCGGGCATCTGGGGAACTATTGTCAGGCACTGTCCTTTAGTGTCCACAGATGCCATTCTGGGGAACCCTGTACAGGAATAAAGTTGTGCATCATAGTTTCTCTTGGAGGCACCAGTACAGGGTTCCCCTGGGGAACCCTGTACTGGTGCCTCCAAGAGAAACTATGATGCACAACTTTATTCCTGTAGACCTGTATCATTTTCAGTTACCCTTTTCTTTGTGATGCTTTTTGGAGACAGGAGTTGACCGATGGGTGCACTCCTGTCTCCTCAAAAGTAGCCTCAGAAGTAGCCCACATTGAGCATCCAAATTGGTTGTGCTGCAGACAAAAAGATTTGCATTCAGTTCCAAATGCCATGGACAGAATGGGGTCTGTAACACCAATAGCTGTGTTGGTGCAGTTTAAAACCCTTGGACTAAGGATCTAAAGCAGGGGAATGCACCATTAGCTCATGGACTGTGCCCCCAATACACAATCTTCTCCTACACAAGACTCCCTGGTGGGTGGGTGAATGGTCACAGAGCAATGGTGTTGATCTGCCTGTGCTGGTGCAGGGCAGCATGGATGGGTGAGATGTGGGCCTTGCATTGTCCAGCCATGAACTGAAGAATCAACTGTGAACATTTATTCATTATTAGTGTTTATAAGAATGGCATTTGAGCTTCACTTTTCCAAAATGAGATGAGAAATAATTTAGTATAAAAGATATTGAGATGAATGCTATTGAATAGCAATTGTGTTTTATCTTAATGAAAGAAATTGTGTTGAGAAGATTTCCCCCCCAGGATTCTTATAGATTCATACCTGTGCATACAAATTTGCATGGAAAGCAATTATATATAAAATACCTGGTAGATAGACTTGTCTATCTTTTAAATGAAACCAAATCTGCTGCATTTTGGATAATTGCCATAGTATATGGAATAAAACTTCCTGTTTTACATGCTTTTAACATGAGCAGTCTTACTTACTGAATTGTTTTATACTGTTGCAGAAGACAGGGGTTTTTCTCTTTTATTATTTTCTCTCTTTACCCGTAACAGAGAGAACATATACTATCCTTTTTATGTTTCACCATACAGAAGCATCTGGGTGTGAAAAACATATTCAAATACATTGTCACCTTTCTTTTTGCATATTTTGTACATCAGCACATCTCTTTGTGTTCCCCTGCATTTGCTACTTTCCATTCAGTAGATATAAATCACAGTAGGGATGGTTTCACTTGGTCAGCATTATTGCCAGTTTCATGCAGAAAATAACCAGGAAAATTATCCAAGTAATACTGCGGTGACCAATCAGCATGATGATGGCATAAGCGAAAAGCAGATATTACTACAGTCATTGCTGGGTCATTGCGGTGAAATGTGTGAATGAGCCCATTTTCATATTATATTCCCCACATGCTAATGGTTTGGATGCCTCAAGTGGCATCTATTTTGAGCATATGAACCTATGCAACTGCCTTATATTGAGTCAAACCATTGGTCCACCCAGCCCAGTATTTTCCACTGCTCTGATTGCAGCTCTCCAAGGCTCCAAGCAAGAGTCTTTCCCACCACCTGTTATCTCTTTTTTAGTGGAGACCAATGTTCCCTCTAAGCTCCACAGTGTTGTGAGCAAAAATTCTACCTTGTGAGTGAAAAAAGCTAGTAGCATTAAAGTTGTGAGCGAGTCTACATTTGACTATCACAAAAATTAGTTTTTTAGATTATTTTCATAACCTTGAAAAAAATCTCAGAATGAATTATTTTAAACTATATTTAACCTATAAGAATAATTTACATATTATAAGAGAACACAAAATCAAGTCAAATTTCATTACAGAAAATGTTGTCCTCTATGGGGGTAGATCAGGCCTCCGGAGAACAGGTCTGCCCACCCTTTCCACTATATTGGTACATCTGGCCTCTGAAGAGCAGATCTACCCACATCAGTCCACTATATTGGTAGACCTGGCCTCAGACTGTCACCCTGTGCTGAGCCTTAGAAAACATAGCAGCACTTGGGGGGGGGGGGAGGCTCTTGCAGTTTACTTTGGTTTTTTTCTTTAAGTGAAATATGAGAGATTTTCAGGTCAAGTATAACAGAGGTGTAAAAATCACTGCCAGAACCCTGCCTAAGCTAACAAACAGAGTGTTGCTTAGATGTTATCAAACTGTCCGAACTACTTCTTTATTCAAATATTGATATCCCACTTTTCCTGTGACTCAAGGCAGCTTTTAGATCATACTGAATAGCATAATAGGGGTGTGCAAATAAATAAATAAATAAATTCTTCCCTGCTCCATTATAGTCTGCAGGGACCATTATAGTCAATGGCCCCATAGACTATAATGGAGAACAGATCTGGGGGTATCTGGGGCTCTAGGGGGGCAGCTTAAATGGAACATTGGTGGAGACAAGCAGGAACCCACAGGGCATCTCATTTCCTTGTTCCTAGTATTTCCTCTTTCCCAAGCCCCCGTAGCCTCTCACCTTTTCCTGCCTCGTCTCCTTCACACCCACCACCCAACCTCTTTTACCTGTTAATACAATTTGCCTATAAACTACGTAAAGAAAAGGGGAAAAATTATAAAGATACTAAAAAATGA